GGAGAAGGCGGGCCAGGCGCGGCGGCTGCAGAGGGCCCGGCCGCGGGCGGAGCGCCAGGCGCTGAGCGCCAAGGTGATTCAACGGCAGAACCGCGCCCGCGAGAGCCGTCCGCGCCGGTCTCGGCACCAGGGCAGCTTCATCTACCAGCCGTGCCAGCGCCAGTTCAACTACTGAGCGTCCGCCCGCCCAACCGCTTGCAAACCCCTTGCCGACCCCGACCCCTGTCGGGCCCCTCCGCCGCAGCCAGCGCGTTGCTCCAGGGGCGTCCGCAGCCCGCCTCGGGCTGTATACCACAGCCTCCCTCCTTAAGTGTGTGAGGTGGGGTGATAGCCCCCTTCTCAATCCCCTCGACTTTCCCATTTCTGATCCTCTAATCCGCCTCTGGCCCTCCTCTCGCCCTTTACCCTCTGTCTTCTGGCCCCCAAGCCCAACATCTTTCCAGCCCTTCATCTCCCATGCCGACACTCCGCGCCTCCTTTGCTGGTCTCCGTCCCCATCTCTGCCCTGACATCATCCTTGCCCCCCCTTCCTCTACCCCTGGCCTACCGCTATTTCTCAGTCTCCTCTTCCAGTCCCAGATCTAGCTCTTTCCTCGCCTTCAATCCCCACTTTACAGCCTCACCCTATCTCATGTTTGGCACTACACTCACTCGTGCTCCCTTATTATTCATTCCCAGTAGTTCCCCCCAAATGGATGGGGTGGGGAGGGGTTGAGACGACAGGTTTCTGCGTTTAGTCTCACCCCTCCCTCTTCCCTGGGGGCTGAGCTCCTTGTAGTTGCTTAGGCCTGGAAAGGTAAAGTAAGTGGAAGAGGACTGTGAGATGTGAATTCGAAGGAGAAAGGTGGAGGGAACTGAGGGAGAGAGGCAGCCTTCTGGAAGTGCAGACAGGAGGAGGGGGTGAGCAGCTGTAGGAAGCAGGGCTGTATGGGAGCTAGTACTGTGTGCTTGCTCAGAGATCCGCCAAACCCTGCCCTCAGGCTGGAGCCTGGAGTCTGCCCCCATTTCCCTTTCCTATAATCCCACCTCCCAAATCTCTTCCTGAAGTCTACCCCTCTGCAGGCCCCTGAGTCTGAAAGGCTTAGTTAATACCTTGCCACCCTACCCCCAACATGTCACCCCAGGAGTAGAGGCTGGGCAAGGCCCTGCCATCCTGGCCATCTGTTCACATGTCCAAGGTGCTAAGAACTAGCTTAGGAGAGATGCAGGCCAGAGGGCTTCTAGGCAGGGAAACTGCACACCGCAGTGTAAGAATGAAGAGTGATGCTGAGGAGGACAAGCTGTGGGGTGAAGCCATCCCAACACTGACAGCTCAGCTTTCATTTGCCTCTGGCTTTGTATTTCACACTCTGCCCAGGATGGCTAATAAACACTCCTGGGTAGGAGGCCAGGAGTTTCACTGTCCCAATCCTCAAATAGTCCCTCTCCAGGTTCAGGGCCATAAGGACCACTCTCCATTTTCTCCCTGAGTGCTCTCTCTTTCTAGGCTGCTGGGGAGAAATGGGTGCCCTATGGTTCCCCTCCCCTTCTCTTCCAGTAAGTACCTGGAGGAGGGAACCTGAATCCCTGGGTGAAAGAGGGAACAGGGGCAGCCAGCTTTCCTCTTCTCATGGTGGGACTGAATTTTGGGCTCAGACACCAGCAACAGCCTCTTGGGATGCCCCGAGTTGCTTCCCTTTTTCTCTAACTATCATTTACTAGTGCGTGCTCTTTCTTCCTTGAAACTTTTAAGATTTCCTGTTACAAACTAACATAGGTCTTCCCCCTCGCCCCAATTCCAGGTTTCCAGGCCTCACAGTCAAGTGGAGACTTGGAGATAACTGCATTCCCATGAGGGCAAAGGCAGCTGCCCTTCCTGACCCTGTAGCCCCAAGCCTCATATGAGATATGTGGGTAAGGGAGGGGGTATCCCCATGGATGCTGGGATGGGGACAGAGGAAGCCCTGTTGGGGTCTCCTATCCAAGGGAGTAAGCCAAATCTACACTAAAAACGGATCAAAGTCCCCACGCCAGTCCACTAGGGCCCCAGTAGCAACCTTGCTCCTGTCCCCAAGGCTCTCCTTCAGTTACGACCTATCACTTTTTTCTTCCAGCTACCCTTTGGTCACTTCACAGCCAGCTTAGGGTCTTCAGCACTTCCAGAGCTGAAACTCCCTCCAACTCTTCTTGCCTACTCCTTTGCTGCCAGCTGGGGCCTAGGCTCAGTCCTGGGTAGTTCCCATGATCCTTCTGGTGGGGGAAGAGTGAGTAATAGGGCATTAGGTTCAAATTTCAAAAGGTCCCTCCCTCACCCACCCATATTTCTGGAGCTCCTGTAGTTCTAGAACCTTCCAATCTCATCACCTGGCTGATTGCAAGGCTCATAGGTTTTTGTACTTTCCTATAGATTCTATAGCATTTGAGTGTGGCAATATTTTAATTGTGTATAGATTTCTAAGAACCAACACTACTCAGTCTCCTGCTAGTCTGACTCCTGAAGCATCAGACCTCGTCATACTGTATTGACTGTGTATGTGCCTTTCACCTTGAGCATGCTTCAGGATTTTTTTTTAAACCACAGAACTTGAATATATGAGGGAACCAGAATTCACAAAGTCCTATGCAACCTTAGACAGGTGGGGGGTTAGAGAGTCTGTCTTGACTGATGTTTTCAGAGACCCTGGAGAAGTTTATTCCAGTTTGTATTAATTAATGTCAATACTACCAGCACTTTGCCAAAACTGAGTTTGTCAGAGGGACCTGTTTCTAGAGTGAGTCCCAATTACATCAAAGGGCGACTTACAGTAATTCCCTAATACGTCTAAGTGCTCTCTTCAAGCTGGGTCTCCAGCCTTTGCCAGTCTGGCCCCAGCAGGGTATCACGTGCGTATGAATGCAGTTTGCTGCTGTTTTGAAGTATGCCTGCTCCCCAGCTCCTGCCTGTACCCTGATCAATTTGCTCTGATCCCTAATATCTTAGGTGCAATAAGGACCCCACTAGAGCTCTTGGATGCCTCCTCATATCCATGTGGCTTTATGTGGGGGAACCGAATGCAGACACACTATACCCCCTTATATCTTTCCACTTATCCTGCCACCTAGTTCCAAATGGAACCAAGTTGAGTGCATCTGTCTTGGGTGTTTAGTGTTGAGACTGGCTGAAATGAGGAGACTCTGGTTGACCATGTTGTGACGTCAACAGACTCAAGGACACAACCACCGCAACACGGTCATGTGGCATGCCTGTGTACGTGTGTAACAGGATTGTTAGATTGTAATGTTACTCCTCTATGGAAGAGAAAAATATAAAGAAAAACAAATAAAAATCTATTTAAAGCACATTATGCTTTCTGCCTGAATAGAGGTAAAGTAGGAGAAGCACTTTGTAATCTCAAGCACAGTACTGGCAGAGGGTATCATTATTAGGCTGGCTTTGGTTCTCGTGTGTGTCGTAAGAGAAGGAAGAGGGTAGATAAGCTTGCTGGGAACAGAGTCAGACAGCGTGGGGTCTGACTCACAAATAACTACTTTTAGAGGATCTTTATATTGTAAGACATAAATTAAGACAGTTGAAACAGCATGACAGAGAATCACCAACTCATCCTTTTGGTCTCAGGCACTGAGTTATGGCAACGGCAAGGAGCTATTGCAGGGGAAAGGATATGTCTAGCTGTAGGATACACAGCAGAAGGCTGAGACCCAAACCAAGACAAGGACTGCCCCAAGCATGTAAGTCCCCTGAAGGTAGGTAGAGGGTAGGATGGGAGCAGAAGCAGCTGGTTTGTAGACTATAAATTTTTTGATAAGAATTGAGTCAGGAAAGGGAAAAACCTGGGCGTGTTGATGATAAGTCACCCCTAAGCCTGATGATGAGTTACAGAGCAGGCAAAGGGTAGAATGTAGTGGACATCTCTGAAGTACATAACACATAATGACTGCTTGTATTTGGGGACTACCCCTCTCACCACAGAACTGGATGGAAGGTGGAAAACTCACCTAAACTGGGCTAGATTCTTGACGCTGTTACAAGAATCTTGCTGGTCAGGCTGGGCTTATGAATGGAGGAGGTATAGACACAATTGTTTTGGAGCAATCCATCATGTGCCTAGAGAAACCCTTGTATGAAGTGGAGAAAAAGGGCTCCTGATGACTTCCTGTCCCTAGAAAACCCTGGGTGGCCTTTGAACCTCTCTAAATCGATTATTTGCAATCAAAAGAAATTTGACTAACATATAAAGTGTCCTGTACAGTGCTGCAAAGGGCTAGTTTCTTCAAAGCCAAGAATGAGTTGGTGAGCAAGAATGTGCATGTTCCTCAACTTGCCAGGTGCACTCAGGTGCAGTCAGGACAAGATGGGATTCTAATTCACAAAGGCTGTTCCTATTCATTTATGATTCAGAGAAAAGCTTGCTCATGCAATAATCCCCTATCAATAACATACGCTTATGTTCTAGGACAATGACATTTATTTAACACATTCAGTATTTCACATTGTACAAATCCTTAGATTCTTTTTATTCACTGGTCCATTTCTACAACAAATACATCCAAAACACTATGTAATAAAATTATTTACAACATATCCAAATGAGAAGATTCCTTTTGCCCCCACTACTGCTACTCACACAGTACTTCCACAGCACAATACATCATTAGATCTAAAAATGCTCACCCTGTACTCTAGGCTGCTTAGGAAATGTGAAAACTAATAACATAATCACATTAGCTCCTCTCAATACATGGCAACATTTTAGAAACCTTAAACTTCATCAACACCAAAAGGGTTCAACAACTCTGCTTTCCTCATTGCACTTTAAGAAACAGGTTGCAGGGACTAGGAAAAGGGCCACATTATTAAAATTACTAGCTGTACAGAAATGGATTTTAAAAAGTCACAGCTCAAAATTGCTTTTTGTAAAATTCACACACATTTACAAGTATCAAGTCGCTGTCCAGCTTGTTTACTTGGATTTTCTTCGCTTGGATTGCACCGCACTGGTTATATCTGTGGGGGGAAAGGAAGGACATGTTCAGCTGAGGCAACTCCTTATAGCAGTGCCTTTTAGGCAGTACACAAGAATGCAGGCTGACCTGAGTGGAGCCCTATTGGCTCTGTATCAGTCTAAGGGCCTCAGAAGGGGCATTCAGTGTGAAGAGGGTCTCAGACTTCTGTGGGGGGAGGGAACACCCTGGGTACTACGGCCTGGCAATTGGGGAAATGTGATACAGGTGGCAGGAGGTGAAGCACACGTACCTCGTTGGAAAAAGTGGCAGGATGGGGAGAGCTGCTTTAACTAGGCAATTAACCCCACAATCTCCATCACCAGTTCCCATCATCCAAAGAAATGATGGACAGACTGACAGTGCTTTTGATGAGAAATCAATGAATGATGCTACAAGCAAGTGAGTAAATTGTGCCAGAATGCAAATACCAGCCTCTGGATCCCTTTTGTAGCCAAGCCATTGTTTTGCAGGAAGGAACTCATTTTGCCATGCTATAGTCAAAGTTTCTAAATAACATTACCATGATCGTTGGTCAACAAGTGTCTACTGTGGTCTAGCCAGGAATATCATGACTGTGGATACATACAGGCATGTAAGCAATTCAGAGCAAGCCACAGCCTGCTCTGTGAGCCCAGGTGAGCCTGAGGACTTCAAGGAAGAGGTGCACAAGCTGAGTGGTTTACACATAGGGTAACAGTGACATAAAGGGGGATGAGTGTGTTTTATTTATGTTTTAATCTTCACCGGAGGGTAGTTTTTCCATTGCTTTTCAAAGAGAGTGGAAAGGGATGAGGGTGGGGGGAGAGACATACAGACACACACATCAATGTGAGAGAGACACATAGATTGGTTGCCTCCCGCGCTTGCCCAACTTGGGCTGGGGCTTGGGATGGAGCCTGCAACCGAGGCACGTGCCCTTGGCTGGAATCAAGGAAACAAACCCAGGACCCTTCAGTCTTCAGGGTCAACACTCTAACCACTGGGCAAGACTGGCAAGGGTGGGAATGAGTGTGTTTTAATTTCTTTCATTCCTTTTGTATTATCATACTGTCTTAAATCAATCCAATCATCTCATATTTAAACTATGTTTCTAAAAAGCTTTTCCACACAAATTTCTTACAGCAGAGTACAATGAACAGTTTGAAGCTCTCCAAATGTAAACATTTAAAATCTCACATTGATCTTAAAAATTCACCCTCATTCTTCATGCTGCTCAATAGTAGATATTTTGGTTTTAATATGAAAACAGTATTTTAAAATTACTTCCTATCAAGGAGAAAAAAAAAATTTCCTAACACATGAATGTATAAAATGAATCAGATGTATCCATTTCTGAGAACTAGGCTGAATTTTCTAATGCTGCATGTTAGGTTCAGTGTTCTAAGCAATTTTTCTTCTCTCTTTTGTATCATAATATTTTGAGAACCCAGACTCGAAAGGTAGGTGCAAAAATAAAAAATTTTACTATTCTGTTGTTAGCTACAGTAATTGCTAAGAAGTGAAGCTTCAATGACTTTCCAAGAGGTGATCTGTGCAATGTTTTTGCGCCTCTGTTGTTGGGAATTTCAATATGTCGCATATTGAAATTGACTATTTTTTTGCTGGGAGATCATGTTGCTTGTGCCATGGAGCAGAATCAGTCTCTGATTTCTCATGTCTTTTGCTAATCAGAGGACAGATAATCTGACAGGATGCTGATAATGGTGTTCATTTTAATTGCATGTAAATTAAGAGTCTCACACAACCAAAATTCCCCATAATCAATTCTTTTACACTCAACATTCAAGCTTCATTGCCACTATAGCAAATTTGTCATTTGCAGTAAAAATACAAAGTTTTGTCTTGACTGAATGTTCCTTAGAAAAATATCTATTAATTTGGCCATCTTGGAAGCTTCTCCTTTGTTGTGATATGAAGGATCAAGTGGTGTGTCTGAAAAACACATACGTGGCTGGGAAAAGAGGTGAAGAGAGTGTGTGTGTGTGGGCGGGGCGTGGATAAGCAACCTCAGGTTTTCCCTACTGCCTCCTTCCATCTGCTACTGCTCCAAAGCACCCAAAGATCTGGCAGGCTGCCTCTGCCTCTGAGGGTGAATCAATTG